CTGGCTGCTTTAGGACCCCATTACCTATCAGTGAGTTCACAAGTTAGCCTAAGAGGTTTGTCAGGAATTTATTTCTCACAAGCTTAATTGTTAACTAGAAAGGAGAAATGGAATAAAAATAAACCTCCCATTGTTTTCATCATGATAGAAGACAAATTCAATAATACCAGTTGTACATTTTTCACAATACTATTTCAACTAGTAATACATGCAGCTAAGATTCTATCAAATTTGTAAACTATTTCATCATGAAATTGTCTTTGCATTTATTTCTTGGGTGAAATTTAGATTTTTTCTGACTCTAAATACTAGTAACTTTCATATTCTCAATTCATGCACTACAAAAATATCACTTGCCTAACAATTATAGTTTATATTTTGAATTTGTTATTACTGAGGTAATTTTACCTATAGTAATATCTACAATTTATTCATAACATGAGGTAATTCCAAGTATATATTTCAATGTGTTTGTGAACATGGGGCAATTTCAAGTTACTATTTGCAGTTACTTCAGAACATGGGGTAATTTCCAGTTACTATTTACAGTTACTTCAGAACATGGGGTAATTTCCAGTAACTATTTGCAGTTACTTCAGAACATGGGGTAATTTCCAGTTACTATTTACAGTTACTTCAGAACATGGGGTAATTTCCAGTTACTATTTGCAGTTACTTCAGAACATGGGGTAATTTCCAGTTACTATTTGCAGTTACTTCAGAACATGGGGTAATTTCCAGTTACTATTTACAGTTACTTCAGAACATGGGGTAATTTCCAGTTACTATTTGCAGTTACTTCAGAACATGGGGTAATTTCCAGTTACTATTTGCAGTTACTTCAGAACATGGGGTAATTTCCAGTTACTATTTACAGTTACTTCAGAACATGGGGTAATTTCCAGTTACTATTTACAGTTACTTCAGAACATGGGGTAATTTCCAGTTACTATTTGCAGTTACTTCAGAACATGGGGTAATTTCCAGTTACTATTTGCAGTTACTTCAGAACATGGGGTAATTTCCAGTTACTATTTACAGTTACTTCAGAACATNGAGTGTCTCTGCAACCTCACACTTGAGTGTCTCTGCAACCTCACACTTGAGTGTCTCTGCAACCCTCACACATGTGTGTCTCTGCAACCTCGCACTTGTGTGTCTCTGCAACCTCGCACTTGTGTGTCTCTGCAACCTCACACTTGAGTGTCTCTGCAACCCTCACACATGTGTGTCTCTGCAGCCTCACACTTGAGTGTCTCTGCAACCTCACACTTGTGTGTCTCTGCAACCTCACACTTGTGTGTCTCTGCAACCACACACTTGAGTGTCTCTGCAACCTCACACTTGTGTGTCTCTGCAACCTCACACTTGTGTGTCTCTGCAACCTCACACTTGAGTCTCTTGCCAATTCACACAATAGTGCAGTACTTGTGCTTAATAGTACAGTACTTATATTTCCAGCAATTAGTCTAGTCAAAAATACGATGCAATGCCAGATAGTTGACACGACCGAAGCTTACGATGTTATTGTCCAATTTCTGGGGGCCATACTTTCAAAACTCGCTAAGTGAACGTAAGTACTTACGCTCTATTTTCTTGTCTATGATTGGTGGATTTTGCTCGAAAGGCGATCAATGATTGGCGGATGAACTTACGATCTCTTAATTTTTTTTGAAAGTATAGTCCCTGGCTAGCAATGCAACGTGATCAATTTTTCAGCTTAGCTCCAACTCACTTCGCAAATGAAATTGTACTGAAGTTGTTTCAACATCATCAACTCGCAATCAACGTTGTTTCAACGTCACTTGCCTGCCGGGAAATGGCTGCTCAAGTTATCCTAGAACTATTGATAATATGATTAAATTTTATCCTGCTACTGAACATGTCCAGTTGAATTCGTTCAGGGTTTTATAGTCAGCTAACTAATGTGGGTCTGTAGTGATTGTCCAAACCATCTGCTCGCGTGTTACTTGCTCTTGTCTTTCTTTCATTAAATAAACAAATACATGCACTAAATATTCATATTTTCTACGTTCTTATCTCTCTATTTGGTTGAAAATTTTGCATTTTTTCTGGGGGTATTTTCTGGATATTTTTATATGGTGTCGTCGTATTATAATCTAGCCAAATTAATAAATCATGGGTCGTGTCCTAATTATATACTGATGATTTCTCGCTTCATCAGTATATTTGTATATACTGAAGATTATTCACATATCAATTCGGTCGAGGTAGAAGGCAGTATGAGTTAATTGCTCTTAAGGCATGTTAGTGTTGCTGCATCAATGCTGGCGTGGTGACATAGAGTTTCTATGTAATCACTCAGAATTTGTACTTTATTTTTGTGTTGATTTTAGTTGAGTTTGCCTTCTTTTTCTTAATATTTTATTCTCTTTGATTCAATAATGTCAATGTACTTTCTTCACAGATGAAGATGACTTAGTTTTTAGTGCATGAAGTACTTGATGGTCATTACATATATTTAATGACAAAAGGAAAATAATGGTTAGGTCTACAGCTGATTTTTTCATAATTGATCTCAAATAAATGTTACCTATATTGGTGATCATTAATTTTTTATTTGTTCTCGCCAAAAACTGCTGAGAAATTGTTGCTTTGTTTATTCATTTATGTTATTGATCATCAAACTGCTTTGAATTACCCTATTTATTGTGCAAGTTGAATCATGTGAGATGTGCTAATAATATTCCTATAATTCTATGGAATTATTGACTCTTTGATGATTAGTTGAGAACCAAAAATTATATTATTTCTGTAAATTACCTAGCTTGTTGACAGTTTAGAGTAGAAAATCGTGCAGATAATTTAATATATTTGTGACATTATTGACTGTATTTGTGTTATCACGATTTGTTATGATCCTAAAATTATATTATTCACCAGGTTTAACCAAGTGATGTTATTATCAAAATTTGTTGTAATAAAATGGTATTGTTCGCCAGGTTTGACCAAGTAATGCTCTTATCACGATTTGTTGTGATCCTAAAATGATATTATTCGCCAGGTTTAACCAACTTGACGAATGTGACGAACTTAGCAGCGCTTGCAGCCTTGGCTGCTGGTAACCACACGGGGCTACAGGCCCTCACACAGCCCGGTCAGTGCACTCACACAAATAAGTAAGACTTTGTCACAATTAAGATGCACTTTTTGGCCTTTGCATGGGTTTTCATTTCCTAGTTTGGCCCGGCGTATCAGTGCTACGTACAGAGTGTGTGTTATTGTTTGGAAAATTTGACCCATTGATTTATCTGAGTCTGTCTCTTATACACATCTAGATGTGTATAAGAGACAGGGTGTCACTTGAGCTTCCTTTTGAAGTGCCGAATAGGAAAAAAATAGGAATAGGAAAGTGCCGAAACTTGAATAGAAGTGCCGGCGTTGAAGAAATAGGCCCATGGCATAGACGTAACATCAGTCAAGATTACTTGTAAAGTGTTGGGAGCAATGTATTTCAATTCGTGTATTTCATTCGTGTAAAGATTATGAATAAAGTGAAGATTGATTATAAACACCCGTCGATTTTGGGCTGTTGAGAGATTGAATCTTTGTTTTAAATTTGAACATTTCGCTTTACTAGCTTGAAACGCCCATGTTCNATTACTTGGAATATTTAGAATTTCTCGTGTAGCAAGATCAGCAAACTGGAATCATTAGGACAACAAGTTTAACATGAGCGGAGTAGCAAGATGTTTGTGTGCCCTTGAATATTTCAAGTTGCTTTGATTGCTTCATTAATAAGATAGGGTTTTTTATAGAGTAAAATGTATGTATATAAGAGGAAAGGATAATAAAAAAAGTTGTGTGTATGAATGATTGGAAGAGTATTAAAAAGATGTCTCTCACCCTAGCTGTGCTGCCTAGGCATAACTGTACTTACACTCGATACGAAAATAATGTAAAATGCTGCGCTCCGACACGGGGTAAAATGTGCTCTGAAGTCACCTGGACAACAAAAATGAGAACGATGTGTATGAATTAATTGAATAGCATTTCAGACTTGTCTTGAAATTGTCTTGGAATTTAATGTGCTCTGAGGTGACCTGGGCAAAAAAATGAGAATGATGTGTATGAATTAATTGAATAGCATTACAGACTTGTCTTGAAATTGACTTAGAATAAAATGTGCTCTGAAGTGACCTGGACAACAAATAAGAGAAAGATGTGTATGAATTAATTGAATAACATTACTACTTGTCTTGAAATTGGCTTAGAAGTAACTTAGTGGTTTCGTTGGCAGGCTTCCACGGTGGACTTGGCAGTCCAGGCCTGGGGGGAAGCACGAGCGGCCTGGGCGGCACTGGTGCCCTCAACCCCAACCCTTCCAACCCTGCTGGTCAGAACTGTCGCCTCGTCACTCCTTACAACAATTATATGTTCCCTATGTGTTGACATTTACAGCTTTTTGTCCAGCGATACGTTAGCGACCAGGCTAATTGTTCCTAAAGGAACTGTTGCCTTGTTCCTCCTTACAATAATTATATGTTTCCTATGTGTTAATACTTACAGGTTTTTGTTCTGTGATATGTTAATTGGCGTCCATGCTAGTTGTTCCTAAAGGAACTGTCGCCTTGTTCCTCCTTACAACAATTATATGTCCCTTATGTATTAATACTTACAGCTTTTTGTTCTGTGATATGTTAACTAGCGTCCATGCTAGTTGTTCCTAAAGGAACTGTCGCCTCGTCCCTCATCATACATTTATTATGGATAAAGTTAAATTAAAAATTTGTAGTGAAAAAATAGTTCGCATACTATTTTGCATGTAATTCGAAATGGGTGGTTAATGAAGCATTTTTTTCTTTAAATGAATGTAATTTTCACGCGAACATTGAACGGCTTCCATCGACAGTCAGCTCATTCTATTGCACAGATGATGCTAGAACTTATTAAAATGTATTATTTCGAGGTGAACAAGTAGAATGTAAAAATTTTATATTAACAACGCGTTATTTCTAGGTGATCAAGCAGAATATAGCTGTTATAATAACGGATTATTCCCACGTGAGTAAGCACAAAAAATTTCACTACGTTATAGTGACAATGTATTTCCGGGTAAGCAAGTAGAAATTGAATATCAGAATATTATAAGAAGTATAATTTGCAGGTAAGCAAGTGGAAGGCCCCCCAGGAGCAAACTTGTTCATCTATCACTTGCCTCAAGACTTCGGCGACTCCGATCTTGCCCAGTG